CCCAAAAAAAAAAAAAAAAAAAAAAACTATTTATCCCATTGTAATTTACAAATAATGAGGCTCAAACGGGAGCTAAAACAACTAATGCATTAACACGGCACTTAACCGTGTTAGTGTTTGTTTCAAGCCATCTTGTAGATGGACCCATTTCATTCAGTGAGATTCAAATATTTCAGCAACATCAAGATCAACGAGTTCACTCACGCATCAATATGTTGATTCGCACCTCTTTGGTCCTTGCACCTTTACCCGTCTGTTTAGCATTTCATCCCTGAGACGCAATTCTATTAATTGTTCAATTAACAAGACAGCAAATCCAACACGCTAGTGATATCAAATTTAACTCATTAGGCTAGACCGTACAGCGATATTTATTAAGCAAAGATCAAACCGAGCAAGTTACAAATATGTACGAAAAGATTCCACAGCATTCAAGTTCGACTGATAAACAAAACTAACATACCAATAAACCATCAGTTAGCTAGGAATTCATAAGTTGTTCATATGAAACAAATTAAAACTGCCAGTTCAACACAAAGCATCTAAAGAGTCCATACAGAATCAGGTGCATCTTTCCGAGGCCCAACAAGTGTCCGGTACAAGTACATCTTTTCTACATTCTGTCTATCATCAGATCCACCCTCCATCTCATCACCTTCATTAATGATCTCCACATTGAGTCTTGGCATCTTCTCTGCAAGGGACTTGCAAGCTCCAAATGTCACTTTACAGGACGACATCCAAAGAGATCGCATTGTCTCATACTTCCCCGTGTCCGCTAGAAGTGCCATATTTCCAAAGGGGCTGTCCCTAATTTCCAGCTTCTTCAGTTTCTTGCAACCATTCAATACATATACCATTCCCTTGTCACTGTTACCAGCAAAGGCGATCGAAAGCGTTTCAAGCTGCTCAGCATACATTCCTATGTAAAGAAAAACTTGATCAGTTAGAAGGCCAGAGACTGACAATCGCTTAAGACCCTTGCACGACTGGACAATTGCCCCAAAACCATTATCAAGTGGCTGCATCGTCACTGCATCAGGTGTGATTGGGTCAAGAGTGCATAATCTGAAACGAATAAAATTGGGGCAATTTTTTGCCACAGTAATGAGTGCAGTGTTGGTCATCTGCCGACAGAAATAAAGCAGTGAATTAAGATTGGGACAACCAGCTGATATTGCAACCAATCCTTCTTCTGTTATAGCTGCATTGCCCACATCATTGGGATCTGATTTGAAGACCCTCAATTCCTGCAATTCTTTGCACGCAGATGCCACAACTCTGAGCCCTTTATCCCCAATTGTATCCAAAATCTGTAAAATGCAGTTTCAAATCAAAATTTCTGGGAAAGTACAAGGATACAGTCATTTAAAGGGAAACAAAAAAAGGGTTAAAAATCGAACCCATAGGCATTGCAGTTTCTTGCATTTGCGGATCAGCTTTACAAGCTCCTTGCTATAGATTCCAGGAGCATAGCTCAAGTTCAAAGAAGTCAAATTTATACAAATTGGGTAAATAGCAGGTAGGCAGCGTGCATTAACATCCAGGAACCCTGACAAGCTTCTAATTGATGTACACTTCTGCATAACATTTTTTAACTTGTTATAGGTTTCTGATTCTGGATCATGAACAAAAGAACCTGCCCCTAAATCCACCAATTGAGGCGCTCGCGCCAAAATTTTCTGAAGGACATCAGGAGGTACAGCATGGTTTAGCCTGAGACTTTTAAGGTTACGACATCTTGCAACCAGTCTCTCAAGAGCTGCCAAATTAACTTCTCCCTTGAGGCATGCAAAATTCAAAGAGGCAAGAGAGGTGCAGCTGTCAGGAAAGCAGCTAAGCCACTGGCCTCTGGGGTCTTCTACTTCATTTTCTTGCAAATCTAACTCCCTAAGAAACCTGAATTAAAAGAGAAGAGCCAGCTATTAAAAAAATAGAATTTTTCCATCTCATTAGTCTCAGTAAATCAACCATAACAAGCTACCCTATTCTTCACATCTGCATCTCTATATAACTTGAGGGAACCACATAGTACAATACTCCAATTAATGAAATGTAAGGAAAGGTATTTAAACAATCAATTTACCTATTAGTAATTACTCATTAATGGTAGTCGTAGAAGATCGCTAGAAAGCTATTTAACCTTTGATTACATATGAGATGAGAGAAATGATATAATCAGACAACAAATGATAAATTAATTGCTTGGTTAATTGGTGAGCTAATAGGTGAAGTCCATTTCTAATGCCAACAATAGCAAACACACACACTCTACAACAATTGCAGCATCCTAAAGGAAACTAATAATTAGCAAGCAATTCAACATCAACAATCAACATTTACTAATGATCAACCGTATAGAAGTTAAAATAATCCGGCACACTATAAACCTACCAACACAATATTTTAAGAAAATTTTCCTAGTCCAAATGGAAGGAAATAAACACTATAGTGCAAAACTTCTATTAAGAAGCAGAAATTATACCTGCAATTGGAAGCAATAGCAGCAAGTCCATCTGTAGTGAACCCTTCACAACTGACCAATACCAAAGACTTAAAATTGGGAAAAGACTTGGCAATCAGTTCGAGGCTCGCATCCGACACCAACATCCGCTTCAACCGAAGCTCCTCTAGATTTGTGCAGCCTTTCGCCATGGCCTCAATCCACGGGTACACATAACCCCCCCAATCATGGAGAACCAAATTAAAATCTGCAAAATGGGGCTTCCCTTTGAGAGTCAATGACCGAACCCTTGGAAACCTTGAGATCAGCCGTTCAGGGCTGATGGCATAGCAGTTTCCTATAAAAACCTTCCCCCGGCTGAATCTCTCGACATTATACCAAGACTTGCACACAAGAGACACCGCATTTCGGTCCCGATGTGATGTCAAGAAACTGAAAACATGCTCTAATACTTCCTCTGGAAAGTAATTTATCATACTCTGACACAAGCGAGTTCGATCCTGACGCCACTCTCACCAAAAGACTGAGCTTCTTAACCCAAGAAAAAATCTTTTTTTATATAGAATGAAACACAATTGTGATATGTAGGATAACAACAAAGTAATATCACTCAAGTAATTGTTTAATGAAGCGAAAACCAAAGAAACTTGGGATTTTGAAGGAAAAAGAAAAATATTATATTTCGGTGGATCTGAGCAGAAATATTCAAAAGATTGGCTAGATCTGAAGATGTCGATGAAAAAGAAGCTGATAATGGATAGTGCAACTACTTTTTGATTTTTCGGATTCGTTTTGGACGAAATAAAGAGAGGAAAAGACCAGAGTCAGCACTCAAATAATTTCGACAAAAATTAAAAGGCGGGGAAATCTTATTGGATAAGGGAAAGACAGATAATTCTGAGCCCAGTTTCCATCATCATCGTCCAAAAATAAGAAGGGTATGATTACTATGTTGAACCCACAAAAAAAAAAAAAAAAAACAAAAAGAGGAGGGATGAAGAGTAGACTACAGGAAAAACTACAATAATAACACAAATCTGATTCAAAATTTCACAGATCTGATAGAAAGTATACAATATTTCGATTTATAGCAGCACTAAAATAGATAATCAATTTATTAAAATAACAATAAAGATGGAGGGAATAGAATTCCTTGAATCGATGATCATCAGTAATCTAAAGAGAAACAAATGTCTGAAGCCTAAATTTTACCTTTTCTTGCTTTCCGGTCCGTATATATATTTGTATTTTCTCATTCACTCACGGTGAAAGCTGAAGGCGGAAGAGTATCATCAGCAGGTGAGACTCACTATTCCAACTCGGGTTAAGATTTTCAAACCTAGGTGTTATGAAATTTTAACCATAGTTAATAGATCCAGGGTTGTAATTAAGCCCTATTTGAACCTCATTCTTTAGAAAAATAAATTTTTTAACAGTGTTTTAAATCATTTCAACACATTTTTTAATAAAATAATATTACAAGCAAATTCAGAATTTTTCTTTATTTTTTAACCACATATTTTTTATTAATATACTATTCAAAAATTCATTCTTTTCTCAAAATGAGACTTAAACAAGGGCTAAATAAGGAATTATAACATGGAAAAATTGTAGCAACGGTCCCTAATATTTTCAGTTTTTACAGATTTTATCGTAATTTTCAAATTGTATCAATAAAGGTCCTAAACACTTTAAAAATATATGCATTTGAAGACCAAATGGATGTAACCCATCCACTTTTCTATTAATTGATCAAAAAAAATGATACTTACCAAATTTGATAAGGACAAAATGGTATCACTAGAATTAATATTTTCCCAAATATTATTAACAATTAAAACAACGATTAAACTAAAATAAATAAATAAATAAAATTTGCCTCACGTACCCCACCCCATCTTTATCGTCTTCCCCCACATCCACCACCAAAACCAAACCATAATCCAAAGTAGTCTCAAGTGGCGGAGTCAGCAACTAGCGAGGTGGGACGACCACGTGTGTTGGCTCTGCCGAAATTTACAGCGACCATGCACTTGATCTGTCATTTGTTATCTCCATGGGTGGTAAATAGGGAAAGATGAAGTTGTGGCCCTTGTGGGCCATTTTCCTTTCGCTTGATAATGGGCCTTTTTTTCTAAAAATGTGGCCCATTAATAAAAGATAAACCAAACTTCTCCTTTCAAATGCCGACATCTATTTCTGTAGCAGCCCCCATTTGCACACCACACACCACAAGCCTTGCTATTCTTTTCTTCTCTTTCAATTTTCTTCCCCACCACGAAAATTGCTATAAAAAAATGTTGCCACATGAGAAGACAACGCTGGAATACGTCACAAGCGGCATTATGATGATGACGCCAGTGAAGCTAAAAGCGCCGTGCTCAATGGCTAACTGCTACTTCACGATTCCCAATTTTTCCCACCCGTTGTCGCCACTCACCACTCAATAGTAAGTTCCAGTGACAGATGCACCCCGCATGCCACTTTGCTGTAGGTAATTTTATTGAATTGTATTCATCTTCTTATTTCTTGGGTGATAAAAACTTGTATCTTTTGCGCTTTAGAGTTTGTGAAGAAAATGATTTTAGCTATAATTTGATTTATTTAGTTGAGAAAATTAGATTAATTGCAATTGGACTAGGTGACTAGCTATGGTTAGATTTATATGCAATTGGATCCTGAGTTTTACATGGTTGTGTAATGTTGATATCATTTAAATGTTAAATTAGGGAATTTGTGTGATAAATATTATTGTGTGCTTTTTTTTTAATTATTATTTTGGATTTATTGAATTATATTGACCCCAAAATATGTTGCCAACAGATACCGGACCCACCGCGAACACATAAGCCTGGTCCAACACGTGGACGGTCTAAAACTAGTAGTAAAAGGGGTGTGGGAGCGACTACTCAAAGGCGCAGGACGAGAACGTTCAGAATTCGATGAGATATTTGCATAACGATTGAACAATAATTACAGATCGATATTTGTAGAATACGTGTATGAATTCGTGTATGTTGCAAGAGAGTAAAAATATAAAGGATATTGTATTTGTTCTTGTGTTGAATCTCGCATTAGCCTTTGTATGGAGTAAATGGTGGAGTATTTATAATGTCACAAGTTAGATCGTGGCCCTCAATTGAGAGTACACGTAACCTCATCTTATTAATTTTCGTGTCAAACTGTAGGTGTCAAGTTTGACCTCCTAGTCTGCTATACATCTATTAGTTGGCAGAGCCGCCTCTATTTTGACAAGACAGGACACTGGCACTTTATGATGGGTGTCCTATCAATCATTCAAAGGAGATTCTTGTGTAAGGTCGGATCTCTGGGGAGAAGTGATGCAAGAGGTGCTTCAGAGCTTTGGCATGATAGGGCTCAGCATGAACGGCCTCAGAAGTATGAACCACTTAGGCTACAGCACTTTGACATTCCAGAATCCAGGCCATCTCTTAGGTCGTGTCTTGAGTGGTTCTTGATTCTTTGTGGGCCTAGGGGCCTCGGCCACTATGCCACGTAGTTCTGCATATGTGGGCCATGGGCCTCATCGGGTCGACCAAGTGTGTCAGCAGGTAATAATAGTCCTTCAAGTCCAAGTATAGTCATTTATGTAGTGCGTGGACTTTTATGAAATCGAACCTGCCAAGGCTTGTAGAGATGTGGCTGAATGTGATGAAGTAGCCGAGGCAGTGAGTGAATCGAACCAACCGAGGCTTGTGAAGATGTTGAGGCTCACTGTTAATGATTGTTTCCTAGATCAGTGTGCCAATGATTTGATGTTTTGTGCATGTTTTCGAGAAAAGGCAGGCGAACCATTTGGACTTCCAAGGTACGCACGGCCGCTATATTAAATGTGCAATGATGGCTACAGCTGGAGTCTTTAGAAGGTGACGCGTTGGAAGAGGTTCGTGTGAGGCACATTTGAATATGAGCCATTAGCCTCAGAGACGATTTAAATTCGACGCTTCGGATTTGATCAGTAAATGAAGGGTTGGGATTAGATGGGCCTCGATCCAACGACTGGGGTTCGTCGTGGCTATGTATAAAAGGCCAGGAACTCCCATTTTGAACCCTTCTTTATTCGATTTCTCTAATTTTTCTCTGCATTTTCTCAAACTTTCGGTGTCCAGAATCTTGCTTCGATTTCATCCTCCGGCGTTTCACAGTTCCCCGTCCCTTAGTCATCTCTGTAGGTATTCCATCTTTCAATCAGAATTTGTGATTTTGTGTTTGTCGATATAAATGGCATCCAGTTCCGACAGGGATTTAGTCACCATTGCTAGGTTGGGGATTGAGGAGATGCTTAGGGAGGATTCTGAGGCTGGGCGCATTGCCATGGTCAAGGAACCGATAAATTATAATGAGGAGTTGGGTGCATCTAGGGTACCTTCAAATATGACCTCGAAGAGGTTGGGAAAAATAAGGGAGAGATACTGTGTGCCTAATTATGTAGATATGTTAGTCCCCAAGGCCCATGAACGGGCCTGCTGTCCGAGGCCCGAATGTGTGGCAATCAGTGAGTACCTGTTCAAGGTAGGTATGTGTCTTCCTCTGCATCCCTTCTTCAGGGCAATGCTGAGGAACTTCATGTTGTAGTCGATCCAGGTTCTACCAAATGGGTGGAGTTAGTTGGTCGGTTCATACTTCCTGTGGAAGGAAGTTTTTATAGTCGAGGATATGCCGCTTCACGTCTTCGAGACCCTTTTCCAGCCTCGAGTCTTAAGCAAAGATGAGTCTAAGGGGTGGTACTGCATTAGTCCTTAAGGGGCCCACGCACCTTTCATGGTAGGGCTACCTTCTTCCATCAAGGGCTGGAAGGAGTCGTGATTTTGGGTGAGAGGCAGGTGGCAGGCAGTGGAGGGGGACACAACCTTGGCTTGCACAGTACCGAACCAGTACTACAAAGCTCATAAGTACACCAGCCTGAGTTGTAGTTTACATTCTGCTAAATTTCTCAATTTTTTGTTAACTGTTGCCACTTGTCCTACATATTCTAATACGAGGTTTGAGCTCAGCAAGGAGGAGTTCGATGTTATAGAAGGCATATATAAGCGGCCTCTGAAGCTTCATCACTTCGACCACCTCATTGACCGAAGCCGATACTTTCTAGATTTCGAACTAATGGCCTCCAAGGGTAAGAAAAAATGCATATACTTCAAATTTTATTTGATTGATGTCTGCTGACCTATTGTGTCTTTTGTAGATAAGTTCGAGAGGAGGGAGTGTCCCATCCCAGATATGGCCTCAATTCTCAGGGCCACCTCTATAGTAGGGGTGAGGCCCTTGAAGCTGAGCTCCAGTAGGGCCAAAGAGGTTAAAGGCAAGCTGGAGAAGTCCAAAGATAACACCCCTAAGGGGTCCGGCGAGGAGGCCTCCCCGAAGACTGAGAAGTCCAAGGAGCCTCGGGGTAAAGAAAAGGTCCCCGAGGACTCCCATAAGAAGAGGAGGCTGGTTCATGTCACTAGATCCTTTGGGAAGTTTGGGACCTCGGTGTCCCATTCCAGCAAAGATGCCCCTCCCCAATCGAAGCTACTGGACTCTGAAGGCAGTAAAAGTTGAGACGGTAAGAAAGGTCGAGGCTAAAGAGGCCAGGGAGGATGCTGCGATGAGGGTAGCTAAGGTGTTGGATATGGCTAAGGAGCTTTACCCATACAATGACCTAAGTTAACTGAGGTTGGAGTTTGTTGACGAAGTTCTTCAGACTCCTGCTGAGGAAGTAGTCAATGACGAAGTGGCTGAAGAGAATGAAGAAGGTACTTTTGAAACTCAAGCTACGGAGGCGTCTGCTGTTGAAGCACCCCCACCATCCACCTAAGCATAGTGTAGTTTACTTCCAGTTTTAATTCTATGTACTGGCCTTGAGCCCGCCTCTTGTAATATATCCAAGATCAATGAATGCTATGTTTTGTAACATTCTGTTCATTTTCTGATATATGTTATTTTTTTTCTTCCAAGTAAATTGGCCTTGCCAAGTAATTGAACTTAAGGATAAGTTAATAATTCGAACTTGACATCCTAACTTCCATCACTTGAAATAACTAAAGCCATATGATTGATGCCTCAATTAAGATTGAACTTAAGCATCATTACTTAAGCAAATTTGATAACCCCATAACCTGAGTGATAATGCATGAGCCTTATTGTGCAGAATTTGGGTAGATGTTTCTCCCTTTGGCATTCACCCTCATCAAAGGGAGGCATGTGGCGTACGCCTCAGAGTTTAGGCGAGGTGACACAAAGTTGGGATCTGGACCTCTCCTCCGAAGTGCCCACGCTTCCCTACCTGGTGGATGGTGCAACCATGTA